ATTTATGGGCGCCATTCAAAGCTCTCAAGGACACCTTACAGAGCATAATTAAAAACAAGCAACACAGAAGGTCAAACAGTAACTTGAGACTTAAAAAATAAAGACTTAAAACAACAACCAGTTTAGAGGAATTATGATATTGAATACGCCAGTTTAAAAAGGTGGGTTTTCAGGCAGAATTTCAAGGTTGAGTGAGTCCATATTGCGGATGTCTTGTGGGAGAGAGTTCCAGAGACGGGGGGCAGAGTGGCTGAAGGCTCTTGACCCCATTGTTTGAATACAGGTATGATTATTTAAACCAGAGAACATAGCTTTGTAAAACAGTGCTGCCCTCATTTTAAGTTACCGTAAGTTGTTGTCGCCACAGTTCCAGCCGTTGGTCTGCAGTGGAACGGACTACGTCAATTTCTAAACCAATATAATTATTTTGAATCAATATTGTTAGTCGTTTGTTTATTTAGTATTCGCGTCGAGACGCTGGTTGACCATGACAGTGTTCTTTTTCCATTAATGACCGTCTCAATGCACATTATCCCTTACTTATACAGTACGTTATGTATTCCAGAAGGTCTTTTTACAGCACTAAAGGATAAGATGTACTATTGCTTTCAATCAAAGATGGCCATGGTGTGCAGGCATCACATGAGCTGCATTCAATTCCCAGTGTGTTGTGAGAGAAACATGCTGTCCAGTAGCTGCCAACATGAAAGTATTTCAGTGTGATTTATGGAGATTAATGAAGCATATAAACACCTATTGGTAGTTATTCAGGAAAAAAAGAATCTTTTAAAACTGACACAGTTCGATGACTTCATAATATAAATGTACTGTCAAAGTACATTCAAGCAGGCGGTACTTAACTTACTGTACACAGTTGTTAGTGATACTGTGTGTAAGTATGGCAGCTACTGAACACTGTCATAGTGTATGTGAACCTAAACATACATTCACCATGGCATGATGTACATTTTATGTTAGTCGGGCCCCCTGGAGCCTGTGTATGTACCCTGCATGGCCAACAGTCGTAGTACCAGGCCACAGTTTTCAAAAAAACTGTGGCCTGGTACTACGACTGTTGGCCATGCAGGGTACATACACAGGCTCCAGGGGGCCCGACTAACATAAAATGTACATCATGCCATGGTGAATNAAAAGGAAAACTTAGGTCGTAAACTATTCTTATATAATGGAGGTTTGGCTTAACATATACAATTATATAGCTTTTTTCATTATATACTTATTGTTATTTGTGTATGTCCCTTTAGTATAAAACAACTGTGGGACATAGATCCTATTAATGTTCAAATGGGGAAAACAAATTCATATAAACAAAATATACAAAAAAATATAATAACTCGTATATACACAGGGGTTTTCAAAGTGTGGGAGGTGAGCCCTCCCCGAGACATAAGAACAGCAGCATGTAGACAGGAATAAACGCAGATCCTCCTCTGGCTGCAGCCTTGACCGGTACTTGCTTTTGATCAGAGTCAATGCGGAAAACCCGCACTCACACAGGTAGGTGGAGAGGCAGGGGCGGACTGGGAGTAAAAATCAGCCCTGGAATCTCACCCAGCCCACACAAATTGGTAGAGCACGCTAGTGTACTGTCAACGGGGGAGGGGGAGCCTCGCTGCGGGGAAACGGCCCGCTGAACGGACCTCTGTCGCCTGTCAGCGCAACTTCAATGATGCAGTTTAAAAACATAAAAAATAAAGGGCGGTGCCGGCCGTCAGCGAACCGAGCCAGCCGTAAACGGAACACACAGATGGCCAGTTCGCCCCTGGGTGGAGGTGAAGGGAATGAGCACTTTTACAGCCTTTTTGGCGAGGTGGGGGAACTCGCTAGGCAGCCAAAAGTGTGCAACACTTTACTCATCTTTTTCTTGTTATTTTTTTTAACTGCTCACAAAGCACATGGCCAGGTTTAACAAACATTGCATGTTTTTCTTACTGTAACAATTTAATCGTTTTTTCCTAAACAAGCAATAAACCAAAAAAGACAAAATCAGTCAAAAAGTAATTAAGGAAAGAAACATTCCTCTTTTTTCCTTTTATTATCTTTCAATTTCTTAGCGCCATCACTCAATCCTTTGTTGCATAAAAGAGTCCCCATCGTTGGTCTCCGCTGTTGGAACGCTCTAGTTTTTCTCTCCATCCTTTTACTATTGCCAAATAGTCCTCTTCAGAAAATTCCTGCAGGCCAGAGAGACAGGTATGATGAGCAGTCAAAGGATTAAAAGAGGAATTTCGGTTCAGTGGGTGACATTGGGTTGAAAGGTTGTGCATGCTTACCTGTATGAATTCATCTCTGATGAGCTCTGCTCTCTGCAGCTCTGTCTTTATCACCTGTATGAACTGGGCTGTTCGGTCTTCAGAGCGAACGTTGCAGAAACCAGCTTCCTGGATGAACTACAACAAGTAGAGACAGAGAGGGGAAAGCATAATGGGCACGGCACAAATAGCGGATGGACATTAGTAATACATTAGCAACATATCCACAGAGCACATAAAAGCACAACAACTATTGTGCAAAAATCTTCCTGATGACAGGCTTGTAGCTGAAGATCTACACTTGTTTCATGTGAACAGGCCATCGTTAAACAGTAAAAGGAACATTCTTGTTCGATTGTGTTCTAGCTCAATAGCTAAGAATTTGATGAATTTATTAGACAGCCAACAGCACAGAGATGACTGGAATCTAGGAGAATGAGACATGAAGACATTGCATTTTTTGTTTATCTTTCACTAAAGACAATTTATTCTTTCTTGGCCTTAGGGACAAATTAACGACTTTGACAGCTTTAAGTGCATTTTGCTTATTTTGCAGAGTTTTCTGCTGCATAGTGAGGACAGACGAGCACCTTTTACAAGTCAAAGCTGTACCTGTCAGTGCTATGTGATTGACAGAGCTTATGGAATGCTTGTATATTCTGCCTAACATTTCTGTATTCATAATTCTTGCAACCCAACAATAGGGCAGTGTTTATCTTTTTCAAGGTATTAAATAATTATGCTCTACTGTATATTTACCTGGCCATACTGTGAAGGTGTGTGTAGGACATAGCCTCTCTGTTTCACGTAGGCCTGGAACGCTGGGGTCCAGGACTTCTCCCCACAGCAGTAATCGCTGATTAGCAACTTTCCACCCGGCTTTAACCATGACTGTGCACAAAGCAGACTGATAATTAAAAAGAAAGGCAGCACAGACTGGACTGATCAAGAAGTCGCGTTAAAGGCACTCGTTTCATCACAAAAATGTTGCTTTTATTTATTTTCTTCATGTGTTTCAAGCTTTGCCCGACTTCCTCATAGGTTTTGAAATCAATTAAATGCTGTACTGTAAAATATGAGAAAATGCTCACATGGAAGCGTTTGAAGAGGGCCAGTTTGTCCTCTATGTGCAGGATTGTGTCCCTGCTGTAGATCACATCAAAGGAAGCATCTGGGAACGACCTCTTGGTGGCATCAGCCACCTCAAACTGGACCTGTGGAGGAGCGCATGCAATTACTGATTAAAAAAAGCAAACACACAAGATGAATATTATGTGTGGTATTTAAAACAATAGGATAACGGAACAGTTAGACGCACTGAAGGCAGCTTCTCAGTGATGGCCCTCTCCATGGCGGTGTCCACCATGTTGTCTGAAAGGTCCAAGCCAAGCACTTCCACTCCAAAGTTCTAAAATAAACATCATTGACATCATTATAGTCTTTTCAATCACTAGAATCCATTTACAATCCCTCTACTATAATTATTACGGTCACTCTTACTATGCCATATTCCTCGGCTCTTACCTTAGCCATATAGAAGTCTCCTCCACCAATGCCGCAGCCAACATCTAGAACCTTCTGTCCGGGCTTCAGGTTCAGCAGGTCCACAAACTCCTGTCAACACAACAGAACCATTGTTTACTTAATCAAAACCTTAAGAGGTCAGGGTTAGCATTTATAGCAGGAAGGGAAGTAGGAGTATCCGCTGATAAAGCTGCTGTGATAGACGCTGGTTCTGTGTCTGCTGAAGGTCATTTGTAGCATCGGTTTGATAGCAAAGAGTTTACAGAAGACTTTTTAATTATGTGAGCTTGCACTTAGCAGAATAGCAGTGCTTTGAGCTAAATGCTAATGTCTATCATGTCTAACATTATCATCTTCAGTCACAATATTAATTTATTTGCTGGGCTTTTAAGTTAACTTTCTCTTTTCTTTCTATAAAAAGTACCAATTTATTCATTCCAGCCCATGTCTCTTTTTCCCTATAACTATAAAAACTGTTGTACAACACCAATGCTCATGTGCAAATTAAACTTTTGTACAGTTTAGTATTTTTATAACTGGATGCTACTTCAGTCACCTCATATTTTCACATACTTCATAATGCTGCTACCTATTTACAATGAGAGCTGTACTCAATTCTATTTGTCTTTTTATCTGCACTTTTACTGTAACAACGTGCATAAGGATTTCAGATTTTGGTTTTAATTTCCTGACTTGTCCTACCTTGGTGGTGCTGGGCCCGCCTGTGCTGACGTATCCCGCCCCGAACATCTTTTCGTAGCGCAGGATGCTGCGGTTGGAGTACTGCTGGTTGTCCAGGAACTGCTGGAAGCTGTTGAATCCGTTCTGGGTGCCTGGGGAGCGGGGAACCTTCTCCAGAAGCCAGCAGATCTGATTTTGATTGTTTTTCATCTGGAAAAGTGGAAGACGAGGACAGAAAAGGATGGAGATAGAGGCAGGAAGTAAAGGGCAGGATGAAGAGGGTTAACTACAAATCCTCACAGCTACATCACTCGCTGTTATGTCCTACTTTATATCTTAAGTTATAGATAACCCTAAATGACTCTACCTGAACATAGGTCTGAACTTTCTTTTTCAACACAATGTCGAAACCAAACTTTTGGCCGCCCTCTTGGACACCCACTTCCATCGATGTCATGAGGTGGTTGTATTGTGCTTCAGTGCGGTAGCAGGTGGGGTTTAAGTTCCTCTTGAAGTCACCTTGGTAGAAAGTAACAAGTTAAAACAGATCCTATTCCTTATTATATTTATTATATATTGACTGCTTTGGCTGAACATTCATAATCAAATAAAGATTTATATTTCTGTATTGCAATTTCTTGATTGAGATTCAGTTTCTTGTTTGGGATTTGCTGATTCATTTGAGAACCTGTTGTAAACATACTGTTGTGGCCTCATTAATATAGTATCACTGCACATTAAGTAGTTTTAAAATAAATTGAAAAACACAAGTAAAGGCAAAACAAAGATAGCAGCTACAGACATGTATGTGTCTTAGGTTTAAATATGTGCCCCTCAGCTGTTGTTAAGTCACTTTAACTCAGGGCCTTGAGTTGCTATTTAAAAAGTTCTTAATGAAAGAGAGATGTGGTTGTTGTAATGTTGGCTCAGTACCTGACCGGTGGTTGCAGGATTCTCTGAAGAAGAGAAAGCCACCAGGCCGCAGCCAGCCCATCATCTTCTCTGTGAAGGACTGAAGCTCCCCGTCAGTCAGGTACATCAGCAGCCAGTTGGAGAAGATGAAGTCAACGCTAAGGAGAACAATACATTGAAAGATTAAATTATGTTAAAAAAGCTTCAGTGCAGAGTTCAAGAATATCCTACAGTATGTATAATCTTGCAGCCATAAGAAGGTAGATGGCGCTAAATGACAACTAAGGGGATCACCCAAACTTGTATAATTCCTACTGAGGGGAGTCATAGATGTCTGTACTCATTTTCTTTCAACATTTGTAGATACTCAGTAAAAATCACACACGTGTCCGTCACGTGATACCATTAATCCCAAAGATACTTTTTTTCCATTGACTTAAACTTGCGAAGAAAAAAAAGAAGGTCCTTTATTTTGCCAACTCTAGAGCACTGCATGGTTTAACGTTGAATATACAAAATGTATATCTCTATCTATGCGTATCTATAGATATCTTAACACAAACCTGTTTTTGGGCATATCCAGCTTTGTGACGTCAGCTTGCAGGAAGGTAGCGTTACTATGGTGACCATTGTCCTGCCTGTTCCTCTCCACAAAGCTTTCCATGAAGTCCACAGCCGTCACATGGCCAGCCAGGGTCAGCAGGGAACTTGTGTAGCGACTGTAGAGACACACCAGTATAAATCTCTTTATAGCTCATCTTAAATGCACAACCACAATTTAAAGGTCCCCTATTATACTGTTTTCCAGTACTTTATTATAGGTCTCAGATATATACAAAACATGTCTCTGAAGTGTTTGGCCTCGAAATACCAAACAGATCATACATTGTAGCATCCCATAAACCCCTCTGTTATGTTTCTTTTATGTTCTCTATGTTTCAAAAGTGCTGATTATCTGTCTGTTACTTTAGATGAAAATAAGGAGCCACTCCCCACGCCCCTCTGCAAGCTATTTGGTTAAAAAAGATACAATGGGGCCCTGCCTGACAGTAGCTTTGCCGATATCTGTGTTGATAGGTAATAGATTAAGAGCGGTGAATCAGCTTGGACACAGGAAGCGCTCAAACGTTTGTGTGAGTGTATAAAATTTAGAAATGATTCCATGTCAGCCACAGCTTGCCACAAAAAATCAGACTGAGAGTGTATTCAACAAACTTAAACTAGCTTTAAAGTGTGTATTGACTTTGACCGTCTAGTCATTGTTGGTGATTTTAACATCCATGTTGACAACCCCCAGGACAGAGGGGCTAAAGAACTGTTTAGTGTTCTTGATAACTATGGACTGACTCAGCATGTGACGGAGCCCACGCACAATAAGGGGCACACTCTGGACTTAATTATCTCAAAGGGTCTGAATATCTCTGAGGTTGTGGTGACTGATGTTGCACTCTGATCATTCCTGTGTTTTCTTTGAGAGCTCTATTTCTGTTCACAAAAATGTTCAAAAAGAGGTAACCACAAAGCGATATTTAACTGAAAATACTAGGGAAATGTTTACTCAGAATTTTTCTTCCACACTTGCCCCTGCTAACATCTCAGTAAATGAGCTAGTAGATCATTTTAATTCAAAAAATTAAAAATGTTATACTGTAAGATGCCCATTGCTCCAAAACTAAGGTAAAGGAAGTGACTGGGCGAAGAAAATATCTCA